AGGCCACATACGCATCCAATACGCCACTACGATTCTGGATGGAAGGCGAATGTGTGGGCGCATTTCTGACACGGGATTGACCAACGCACCAGATCTTTATCCTTTATCCTTCACAGGAGATACTGTTGACTTTGGGCAGTAAGCTTACAGTAGGCCACTACTAGTTATTGAATTAGCCTTCACAGAACAAGAATTCAACGATTGAAACTATCGTGCTCGGAGAAACGACACACAAGGAAACGAACATAAGGAAATCAACCTAAGACAACTACTGTAATATTGTTAGGTTGATCAAAAAGCCTTGATAGGATTTTTGGGAAAGTGCGGGGTTTTCGATTTTTGACCTATATCCATGATCGATCATGTGATGGTTGTAGAACATTTTGGGAGCTTCCCCGCAAAAGGTATGAGAGGGTGCGTGCGCCTGCCTGAGTTTAGACACGATGTCAATTTCACAAGACTATCTCCGAGCCATCAGAGTGGCGTAGCAGCACTGGAGCGACAGCAACAGCCCACAACATCTACAGCGCATTGGTTGAGGATACCACTTCCATCGCTACCGTCCATCGCTAGTTCGCTGCCTTCGAGGGAAGAGATACGGGCTTCGAAGACAAGCGTCGGTCCGGATGCTCCCTCGCGTTGACGGCTCTGTCATTTTCGACAACGTCAGAGGATCCGAAAGTTAACATACGCAATCGACTCACATGCGACGAGACTTGGGTGTGCTCAAGTAACAGTTGTCGGTCGCCTTCAGGACTTCGACTACAGAAAAGTTCTGGCTCGATGGATACTTTATGTCTCGACCAATAGCATGCGGCACACAAGAACATCCACTTGACAATCTCTCCTTCTTCGCCCACATCGCAAGGAGTTTCTGGAGGACTTAGTTACTGTAGTGAAGGCTGGATCCTCTACGATGCTAACAAGCACCGCGCCGTCTGGCTCCCGCGAGGATAACAGCCGTCAACGCGAGCCATGTTTGGACTCCACACCAAGAAGATTCTCCATCGCTGCTTCAGAGATTCAAGAGGTATACTGTTCCACGAATTGCTCGAGAAAGGTCGTACCGTCAATGCTTCCTGTTGCGCTGGTCAGCTGCAGAAACTTGCCGGAGCCGTTCGGAAAAACGGCCTAGACGAACATCGGTGCACCTCCCAATACTAGGCCTCGCATAGTTAAAAGACCCGTGCCCAATTGGGGGAGCTTTGCTGGTACACGTTCCACATCCACCCATACTCCTGATATTGTTCCCTCAGATTACCACTTGTTCCGGCCCCTGAACCGTTTCCTAGCTCAAAAAAAAAACAGTTCGTCAACTACGACCACCTTGGACAAGCGGTCGGCGACTACTTTGATTCCCAATCTTTTCAGTTCTGGGGGAAAGGAATCGCTGACCTGCCATTAGGTAGGACAGTGTTATAACTAACGATGGTTATTGTATTGTTGATTAGCTTGCATTGGTTGCTGAGTCGTATAATAAAACAGAAACATCTCAACCCTATCAAGTATAGATAATACATTTATGGCAGCATTTAGTTTTATTGTATTTGTATGATTTAAGCATGGTTGTATTATGATTATTCCATCGGTAGATTTATATGAATCATTTTGTAAGTTAAGCTTAACGTTATCTATAGGCTGATCTGACATTTAGAAGGGAAACATAGCTAGTGTCCCACCTACAGTCCACTGGATATAGGGATGGCAGATGGCTCCGAGAGCCATTCAGTTTTCCCTCTTTATATTTGTTGTACATGGTGCAGTTAATTTATAAATGTCTAATTACCCAAATTTGGGTATCCGCCCACTAAACCACCTATAACCAAGACCTTTCGATCAACTTACTACTTTCAGTAAAATTTCAGAACTCGTAAAAACACCTCATCTCCACTGAGAGCTTGATTACTGGGAGAACCCTATCCTAATATTCGGGTTCACAGCACCCTACGATGAAAACCTATTTCCAAATTCGGCCATTATTGACAACTTTCCAACAAACCTTCTTCTCAAGGTCGTAGTCATACCATATTCCATCTGTCTCATTCCAATGAATCTCTTTCATTTCACGCTTTGCCAATTCATAACGTTGCTGATAGAAAGCGACTTTCTTGAAGTCCCCTGAAAAGATAGTTCATAAAGAGGGAGAAAGAACTGAGTCCGAAGAAAATCTTACAAGGGAAGGATCCCAAGTCGAAGTGGCCATTTGAAATGGGACCTATACTGCTGGTGGTATTTTTTGATGCTGATTTCAAATCTGCATTCAAAATCT